CCCGCCACATGCCGCCCAGCAAGCAACAAAAAATTGGTTCGGCTACCTCCTCTTCGCTCTCTCTTTCTCTCTCCTCCTCTACGTCCACACTTACGACTTCTTCCACCCCGACGACCATCTTCAGGCACCTGCCAATACTTTTGTTCCTCAACTCAAGAACCTTCCCGTTCCTCAAACCGACATCATGTCTTCCGCCGAGCAGACGTGAGTTACCCTACAACACGACCCCGCCATGTTCCGAGGGCTCCTCGGGGTTTCGCCAACGTGGCCTGGCATTATTCACACGCAACCCAGGCTGACTGAGATACAGCTTCATCGCCATCAAGCCTGACGGCGTCCAGGTACGCCCTCTTCTGAGACACCATTGCCGGTAGCCCCTCGAACCCGCCACTGACACAGTCCCCAGCGTGGCCTTGTTGGCCCCATCATCTCTCGCTTCGAGAGCCGCGGGTTAGTCCAGACACATCACTACAGCTTCAATGGCAAGCACTGACACTCGGCCAGCTTCAAGCTCGCTGCCATCAAGCTTGTCTCCCCCTCCAAGGAGCACCTTGAGCAGCACTGTACGTTACATCCCCACACACCGCCACAACCCTCCGATGACCCCGCTCACTGACCGCCCTTTAGACGCCGACCTCAAGGACAAGGCCTTCTTCCCCGGCCTGATCAGCTACATGCTCAGCGGCCCCATCTGCGCCATGGTCTGGGAGGGCCGTGACGCCGTCAAGACCGGCCGCTGTACGTTGCCTCGTTCTCTTTTTGTATTTAGCCAGCCAGCTAACATTTTTGCCCTCCAGCCATCCTCGGCGCTACCAACCCCCTCGCCTCCTCCCCCGGCACCATCCGTGGCGACTACGCCATCGATGTCGGCCGCAACGTCTGCCACGGCTCCGACTCTGTCGAGAACGCCAAGAAGGAGATTGCCCTGTGGTTCAAGGAGGGTGACCTCGTTGAGTGGAAGTCCGCTGCCTTCGACTGGATCTACGAGAAGGCTTAAGTGCCTTTCCGTTTTTGCTCGGTGATTCGAAAAAGGCGAGTCGCGTGCTCTAGTAATCTGTCGTGGTCCGTCGACCACGGCTTGCTGCATGCAGGCTGAGGATGAACGGATAGAGAGACCCCGTCTCGTAGACAGGTGGATTTGCATGTGAAAAAGCCAAGACGATAGCTGAACAGGAAGTCATGACCAATCGCCTCCGTTGTCTCCAAGTGCATGGTTCAGGCGTATTTTTTATTCTCTTATATTTTTTCTCTTTCGGAAGAAACAGTCAACTACCGCCCCCTACGGATGATTTTCTTCCACAGAGCTACCGTTCCCGGTGTTCCCCAGGCACTCAAGATAATCCTCGCGGGCAGCAGCGCCTTGGTCACAGCCCAAGCGAGCGCAACCTCCACGACAACCTTGTACCTCTCGTCATCCCTCTGCCACTGTTCCAGCTGTCCCCTCATGTCCCCCGCCTCGGCGTCGCCAGACCTGGCGAACGCACCCGCTACGGCCCCGCGATCCGCGGCCTCGAACCCGAACCAGCCCTTGCGGCTGAAATAGCGCTCCGCCTTCTCAGCGCCGTCACGCACCCAGGCCGCGGAGCGAGAGGTAAGGTACTCGAGCGGTGCGAGAGCCGTGTAGTGGAACAGCGCAAAGAAGGCAAGCAGGGGGACAATGGCCGTGATTTCGTGCAGCGCGAGGAAGGCGATGGTGTGGGAGACGGGGGCCGCGCGGAGGGCCGCCGTGTGGACTTGGAGGCGCTGTGGGAGGCGGTCGAGGATGCGGTCGAGACGGGACTTTTGCGCGGTCGAGGGAGCGGCGGTGGTCGCTGGCGCGTTCGCGGGCTTGGCTGGGTTGGCCGAGGGGGTTTGCTTTGAGCTTTGGTGGCGTGCGGCATGTCGAGGTTTGGGTCGCAGCGCCGGCCGGAGGGAGGGGAGGATGCGGCGGACGAGCATTCTAGGAAATTGTATCCGTGGCTGGTCTTTGCACGGTGCTACCAGGTCCTCGTCGTCGTGGGCGCAAGAAGTGATGATGTATATTTAGAGCACATGTCCTGGTGTCTTGGCTGCGAGGCCAAAGCTCTTGCTGCTTGTTCTTTGTTCGGGTGCTGGGACTATCGGAGTGGCAGCTGTTGCCAGCTGCGGCGTCTAGTCGGATGGGGCGGAACGAGCCGGCACTGGCTCATGGCTTGGCAGATCACATCAAACCTCGCATGGACAGGAGATGTCTGTCCGTCGCGTCTCGAGTCACGGTCGTAATCTCGGGTTCGGTCAGATCGTCAAGGTAGTAGTAGCGTTTTATCGGTGGGCTGCTGTGGAAACTACGGTCTGGGCAGTCATGCAAGCTTTGGTTCAGACCTATGTTTTCCAGCCAGGGGCAGAGACTGATAATGCCTGGGGCAAGATACTTCACTTCCAAGGCCGGGGCTTCTGGGCATGTTGAGTCTAAGGTTAAACAATAAAATACCAGTGGCTGGTGCGTCAGCCTTACAGGCACCGGAGCTCGTGACCAGTGTTAGCGAAGCAGCCTGAAGCTCGCTTCTCTCCAGACAGCCGGGAGCCAGGCAAGACAAAGGTCAGAGCTTGATTTGGATCGGTCAGGGGTTGATGAACCAGATGCACCAGCCCGACGCGATCGGCATCCAGCCAATATGATTGACACTCATGCTCGCCCACCCACTGGCATGACCTTTTGGGTAATCCGGGACATGGTCACGTGGACTTCGTCTCATTGACGATCTGGATACCTAAGGTACATGATTAGGTACTTTACCTGCTAAGCACGCGAGGTATCCCGAGGGAGCCGGCGCCAGGGTGGCAGCTGCGCTCTGGAAGCCAGGAAAGAGCCTGGAAACTGGGGAAGGGCTGCTGCAGGGCATTGAGACAGCCTATGTTGAGGCGAAACTACAGCGTGTCAGGAGCTTTCTGGTATGCCTGACTTTAATTCCTCATCCCCCAACAGGCAAGGGCTCCCTGGACTTCCTCCTGCCGTTGCATGGGTTGTTATTGCCCAATTGATGGGCCAGCGAATGGGCTTCATGCCAAAGAAAGCACTAGCCCCTGAACAGACTAGCGCTGGACTGGAAGAAGATTAGCTCCATGGACCCCTGCTCCAGCAGCAAGAGCGCCTAGTCCTCATTTCACGATCCCTTCGTTCTGGCTCCTTCCCCCATCCTGGATTCTTCATCCTTAAGAAAAAGGGGGCCTTTTTCTTTGCAGTCTTTTCACGGTACGACACTGTTCCATCGCCGTATTTTGACGAGAACCTTGTTTCGACGACAGCGACGACGACGACGGCATTGTATAGCGCCCTTCTGTTATTACTAGTCTTATTTTACTTCATCGACTCATCCGTGTTCGACATCCAATACTTTGTTCTAATTCTAGCTGTTCGTATCCTGTGCCTCCGCCCGCACAGTTGATGGCTATTGCTGCTGCGCTCCACCCGAGGGTTACCCCATTCAATGGTGTGAATAACGACTACAGCCATTCAAGCGAGGACGACGACGACGTGCGCGACTCCTCGAGTTCTATTGATCTTCTGCCCCTCGAGCGCGCCGTGTCTGAAGATGCCCGTTCCCAGGACAGCCATGGCTTCACCGGCTTGTTGAGGACCAACGTCAGAGGCAGGTGTTCACTACTGCTGTCTCAGTCTCATACGCGTTCTAACCTGACATTAGACGGCGTTCAGCAAGCCCTTCGACCCTTTCTCTCGGGGAACGACAGAGGAGGACCATGGGCACCCATTCCCCAGAACGACTCGGGCTATGCCTACGAGTCTGGCATTGGCCCTGACCTCGGTCGGCCTGCCATGTCATCTGTGAGCAGTCTCCGTGAGATGATACTCGCCTCGTGGCTCAATAGCCTGCTCGTCTTCGTGCCTGTCGGCCTTGCGAGTTACTTATCTGGCATGAGCCCCATCTTGACATTCATCACCAACGTCATCGCCATTGTGCCCTTGTCGGCCCTATTGACAGACGCGACGGAGAGAATCGCCAATGATGCTGGCGACACTGTCGGTGCCCTACTTAATATTAGCCTCGGCAACCTCGTCGAGCTCATCATCTTGTACGTTTTCCAAGTCCCTCATGATGCTCAATTCTAGTGCTGACATCCTCACAGTGTGTATGTACCCGTGCCTGGCGTGGTGGACTCCATTGCTAACAGCGCAGCGTTGCACTGGTCAACAACCACATCCGGATCGTGCAAGCCTCCATCCTTGGCTCCATCATCGTCAACCTGCTCCTGATTCTCGGCTCTGCTTTGTTCGCCAGCACTTTCTCGAGGCACGATGCCTCTGCACCCTCAACCTCCAACACGCAACTCCTCAGCTGCCTTCTGCTCGTCTCTGTTTTCGTATTTCTGATGCCTGTAGGTTCAGTGCCCCCATCTCGTGATTGATATTGTGCTCACCTTGACAGACCGCCTTTGACTACACCTTCGAAGGCTCCAAAGGAGCGGATAAGGCCATTCTCAAGATGAGCCGCATCTCTGCCATCATGGTGCTCGTGATTTACGTATTGTACTTCGTACATGAGCTGCGTACCCGTCCAGTAGCCCACGACGCTATCCCGGCTGAAGGCACTGGCACCCAGCGAAGCCACTGGGCTGTTCCTGAGCCTCAAATTCCTTCGCGAAGCCGGGCTTACACCCTGCCCCCTCGAACCATTCGTTTTGCCGACGATGGCACGCCTACCGTGCCGCACTTTCCAGGGAAGCCCGCCGACCAGATCGAAATGGCCAACCTTGACAAGGTCGCTTCAAGTTCCAACGACAACGACATTGATCCCGTCAACTCGTTTCCCGGCCGTCCACTGTCTACTGAGCCTTCCATCCGCTCACGCCGCCATTCCAGGTCCAATTCCGGGTCCGCGGCCACGTCCCGCGCCCCAAGTGCCCCGGGTTTCATGCGCTCTGGCCCGACAACTCTTGAGCTCATGCGCACAAGCAGTAACCAGGCTCATGTCCAGCATCGCCCTACCGGAAGCCGCTTCATGTCCATTGTGGTTCTGGTGGTCACATCTGCTCTAATGTCCATGTGCGCCGAATTCCTCGTCTCCACGATAGACGCTGTTACCCATCAGGGTCATCTTTCCGAGCCAGTCATTGGCTTAATTATCCTGCCCATTGTTGGCAACATTGCCGAGTACATCACCGTCGTCACGGTCGCCGCGAAAGATAAGCTCGACCTCGCCGTGGCCGTGGCCGTCGGCTCCTCGATCCAGATCGCGCTGTGCGTGACACCGCTCACCATTATCGCTGGCTGGATTCTCAATCGCCAGCTGGCTCTCACCTTTAACATTTTCGAAATGGCGACGCTCCTAGGATCGGTTTTGATTGTGAACATGTTAATTTTAAATGACGGGGGAACGGCAGCGAAAACGAACGGGCTGAAGGGCGCATTGATGTGTGCCTGTTATGCAATCATTGGGTGAGTACTCCTTCTTGAGTCCTTTCATATACTACGCAGCTTCCTGCTGAACAGTCATCATGTGGCGATCGAGCTAACATCCGGCAGGCTTGGGGCGTATCTATCTCCCGAGGAGAAATAAGCAAGCATGGCGCATCGTCGATGGTAATGACTCACTTAGATCTGGTTTTGGCGTTTCTTGTACATACTTTACAGCATTTCAATCGAATACGACAGACTTCGCGTTCACATCAGAATTACAAGCTGGTACATCATATCACAACTTGATATCTTGCTGAGTCGTCTTTTCTTATGGTACCGTCACCCGCCCTTCTCCAATCCTGCAGCAGGGAGGCTACGGTCATATGCTAGCCACTTGACACAATACCTACACGACATGATGCGATGGGGGCGAGCTCCCGAAATCACCGTGACCTCGGGACGTGCAGTTGGTCGAGATTCCTAGCGGGCCATGGGGCGGTGTAGGTGACAAACTCCAGCCTACCACAGGACGATTTAGTCCAGGAAAATGAGCGCAGTCCGCAAGCTTCATGCCCCACATCATATCCGACGATGAAGGCCACCCATGTTCCCGATGCGAGGGAACGTCGTGGACGTTACATCGGGAGGTGGGGTCGGAGAATATGGGGAGAAACCGGTCTGGCGGGGTAGTGTACAGCATGGCACACAGCATTGACAGCTAAGTGACAGATTTTCGACCAGCAGGACCCGGCTGGACGACGGATACGACGCAGATGCATCCCCGGATCTCGGTCTTTATTTTGACCAGGCTTGGTTTCTTCCCAGCACGCGATTCTGAACCGAATGTCTTGCACCAAAACTCTTGGGATAAGGGGAGATAACCTTAGTGACAAAGACCAGAGGTGTGTCGCAGCATCATGACGAGGCATTCGGATCATTGAGCTGGCTTTGTACGGTATAACATCCGTCACCTCGCTCGAGGTACCTTCCATCGGTGTCGGACCAAACCCCGCGGTTCGGATCGGCCGCCGGTGCGCATGCCACGGTGACGGTTTACGGAGCACGGAGCTTAGGGTAACTGACAACATGCGCCACATTGTAAAAGGCCCGAGAAGAGCTGGGCAGGAGAGGAGCGATGTCGTTTATTTAACATCTTGGTCATTGCAGTGGTCCGATCTACCCCGCAAGATGGGCCCGTTTACGAGAGGTCTTTGTCAGAACACGAATGGTTCCCTGGCTGCCCAGGCGCTTAAACCCCGCCATGTGAGCAACCCCAAGCTAGCGTTCGGGGATCGTCAAGGTGGGCTGTCGGATCTCTGAGTCGGCACTGAGAAATCATGCTTCCACTGACGCGGAAACCTTGGCTTCTCGCGTTGCTCAGTTGGACCAGCCGTGTAGAAGCTCGAGATATTGGCATCATCGTCCGCGGAGGGTTGGCCGTCATTGGGCCCGGAACTGCTCCGTATCGCTGGGGTGACCGGCAGATCTTGCTTCTCGCGACTCGAGATACACAAGGATTGGGTTCTCTTCAACTCCACCTCTCAAGATGCAGGTCGCCAACAGTCAACGGTCTCGGACCGAATACAGGTAGAAGATGGTGTCTGATCTGGCTTTCAACAACACGGAAAGCTTCACGTCCAGCGCTAAGCCTGACTCGTGTAATGGTCTTGATTTGTTCCTACTCCACGAACCCGTATAGGGTTCTGCTGAAGAATATATACCTGCCCGGCTTCCTCTCAGTTGATTGTCATTGGAGTCGACACAAGAGCCCATCGCCTCACCCTCACTCTGACTTCACATGACCGCGACCCGAATATGAGGACCGCTATTCTTCTGGGTGCCGCCTCGGCAGTCCTTCCTGCTGTCTCCGGGGCAGACATTCTTCCCTACTGGGATTCAACACGGTGCATCGATGAGCGTGTGCATGATCTCCTCTCCCGCATGACCCTTGAGGAGAAGGCGGGACAAATGTTCCACGCCCGTACCTCTCTAATCAACGATACCTTTGACGCCAACATCAAGTCATACGTTGCCGACAAGCACATCACTCATTACGTCTTCAGCGGTGGCGTCAATGACGCTCGTGTCGTGGCAGAATGGCAAAACGCGCTGCAGCAGTTCTCTCGCGACGAGGGCCTCGGGATCCCCATCACCCTCTCGTCAGACCCGCAGCACGGATGGACCGATGACACGGCTGTATCGAATGTGGCCGCCTCGTTCTCACGGTGGACGGAGCCGTTGGGTATCGCAGCGCTCCGGTCGCCTGAGCTGGCGCTCGAGTTCGCCAAGATTGCGCGCGAGGAGTACGTGTCCGTGGGGATCAGGCAGGCGCTTCACCCGACTGTCGATATCATCACCGAGCCGCGCTGGGGACGCAACGCCCAGACAATGGGTGAGGACGCCAACCTCACGAGCACCCTGCTGGTGGAGTACATCAAGGGCTTCCAGGGCGACAAGATCGGACCGCACTCGGTCATCACTACGACTAAGCACTTCCCTGGCGGCGGCCCTATGGAGAATGGTGAGGATTCGCATTTTGAATGGGTAGGCAGACTTTCTACAATAACGTTCCGTCACCGAATGTTCTTCTGACTTGAAGCAGGGCAAGAATCAGACCTACCCTGGCAATAACCAGGAATACCACCTCATTCCCTTCCGTGCCGCGATCAAGGCTGGCACCCGCCAGATGATGCCCTACTACTCCCGCCCTATCGGCACCGAATGGGAAGAAGTCGCTTTTGCATTCAACAAGGGCGTCATCACGGACCTTCTCAAGAACGAACTCGGCTTTGAAGGCATCGTCGTATCCGACTGGGGTGTCGTCACCACGCGCTTCTGGGGCGTCGAGGACCTGACCGAGCTGGAGCGTGCGCGCAAGGCCCTCGAGGCTGGCATTGACATTTTCGGTGGCGAGACGAAGCCCGAGCTGATCGTCCAGCTTGTGAACAGCGGACAAATCGCAGAGGAGCGCATCGATTACTCCGTCCGCAAGCTCATGAAGGAAAAGTTCGAGCTCGGCCTCTTCGATAACCCGTTTGTCAATGTCGACGTCGCTGAAAGGGTCGTGGGCAATGAGTACTTTAGCCGCCTCGGCAACGAGACACAGCGCAGGGCGTTCACTCTCCTCACGAACCCGGATGATTTCCTCCCTCTGCCGCAGTCGGCGCTCAACGCCAGCTTCTACGTCGAGGGCATGGATCCGGCGGCCCTCGAGGCCCGTAACCTCAAGGTCGTTGGTACTCCTGCGGAGGCCGACTATGCCTTCCTCCGCCTCCCGTCGCCCTTCAAGCCGACGACGGCCTCGGGGCTGGCAGCCAGCATCAACAACGGCTCCATCGAGTTCAACGTCACAGAAAAGGCGCGCCAGGCAGAGATTTACGCTACGATCCCGACGGTGGTCGACATCAAATTCAACAGGCCGCCTGCTGTGCCCGAGGTTGCAGAGGCAGCTGCCGCGCTGATGGGGAACTACGGGAGCAGCCACGATGCATTCCTCGACATCGTTTTTGGCGTCGACGGCTGGGCGCCGGAGGGTAAGCTGCCCTTTGACATGCCGCGGTCGATGGCTGCTGTCGAGGCCTCGAAGGAGGATGTGCCCTTTGACACTGAAGACCCGCTATTTGAATTTGGCCATGGCCTTTCGTACAGGGAGAGGTGTAAGTCGGGATGCCGATCCGCGAGGCGCACTTGATCAATTGGCTGAGGCTGTAGGTTGGGGAATCACGGGCTCCAGGGCGGTGTTCGGCGTCATTGCATAGTGAGGTCCCGAAGGCCGCCAACCATGGCGCCGTGTTCGAGGGAACCCGGTCAGAAAGCCGATTCAAATCAAATATCAATGTATCAACGGTCGCTATATTCATCATGACTGAGGCATAGTGCAGGAATTTGCCGCATGGTGTCAGTCAGTCGGCTTGATGGTTCGGAACCAGATCCAAACACCCGTCAGCTGAGCCGTGGTCAGCGCTAATTATTCACTTCGCATCACCTCAACTGACTGACAGCCCTACCTACCTGAATTCCCTCTCCCTCTCAGCTTGACGTGACCAAAATCACCAGTAGCAAGACGAACAATGGCGCATGAAGAATCACTGCCAAGGCCGATGCTTGCCTTTGTCTCGCTGAATGTCGAAAAGCCGTCGACCATCGTGTTGTTACACGGAGGACTCTCCTGTCATCTCGAGTACGCAGACGTCATTCCCCTGCTGTCAGAGTACCACCTGCTGCTACCAGACCTGCCGCAGCATTCGAAGTCGTTCCACATACCGCTGGTCTCACTCGAGAACGTCGCGGACCACGTGGCCGATCTTATATCGGCCAACGCGCACGGTGGGAAAGCCCACATCGTCGGCCTCTCTTTTGGAGGTTTCGCAGCCCAGGTCACCGCCATACGACATCCTTCGCTCGTCACATCCCTCTTCGTCACGGGCGCCGAGCCGTTTCAAGGCTTCAGGCTGCGCGCGTCGCAGTATCCCTCCCTGATATACGGCTTTGCATGGTCGCTCCTGGGTCTCCCGGATGCGCTCTACTGGCGCTACGCCGCTTGGATGGGCTTGCGGCGGCATGATGATCTCCTTATCGAGATGCGGAAGAACTGCCAATTAGGCATGCTGCGTGACGAGTTTTCCACCATCGCTCGATATCGCCTCGAGGACGTGAGCAAGATTGAGACACGGACACTGATGGTGGCCGGTGGGAGGCAGGATGACGTGGGCGCTAGCAAGCTGGCTGGCCAAGTGCTGGAGAACAGGGTGATTCGCGGCCAGAGACTGGACGATGGGTCGAGGTCTGTCGTTATACGAGACGCCTTGCATGCTTGGGATTTGCAATTTCCGGAACTCTTCGCACGTGGTGTCCTGGCCTGGGTGGAGGAGAGGCCACTGCCGGAAGGGTATGAGCCGAACTAGTTGCCTACCATCATGGGCTTGCAGAGGGTATTGAGAACTGCACCGAGGGGTAAGTTGCAGCTCCAACACCTGAGTGCGCTGTCTCTCTACAAGAAGCGGTTGCCTGCAGGCTATGTTGACACGACATGTGACGCTGAGCTCGTAGGATGTGGCTTTGCTTCTGGCCCAAGCTAGCTATCGTCAGGTCTCAAGCGAATATGACATGTGAGAGATATCCCAGCTACTACGGTTGCTTTTACGTTGACACCAATTGAAGAAGCTTGCCTGCATAACCTGTTATCATGCAGACTAATCATGGAGCAAATCACTACACAGGTGAAGACCACGCCAATAAAGCCACAAACCTCTTAGCTCTCCAGCTGCCAGGGCATGGACGAATGTGTTTCACAGACAATGCATTGGCTTGTATGCCTAACCACTGCCTAAACCCTCCATCTGGTTGCCTCTGCGAACCGTGTAGACTCTCAACCCCCAACCCCAACGAGCAATCATCCGCTGTGCTCCCCAACAGCGTCCCACGAAAGCCGCAGGTGAAATTACAAAGAGGGATGACATTCCCACCATGTATCACTCAGCCCCTGCCATCATACATGCGCGGCCAGCCCCGTCTATGCATGTACAAGTGCACATCGTCTCGGCGGCGCCTCACCCTTTCTGGTGGCTTGCAGCTGTTAAACTGAATGCCCAGCCAAAGGCAAGGCTGCCCGAGTTTACCCTCCCCCCTTCGCTGCCTGATTTATTGACCGAAGAGACTCGATCCAAGTCGGGCCGGCTTTTCGCGGCTGTGAGATCTGATATTCTGCACTGCCCAGCACTGCCCTTCTCAGTGACATAAATGCGTCGCGTCCGCTGCTTGCAGCACCGGCGACTGTTCTGGCTTTGTAACGAATGGAGTTAGCATATTCATAGCCTGACACAGAATATCAGAATATATTACCCCCGAGTCGGAAGATGGGACATCCCTCTCAGCACCGGTGTCATCATAGCAAACATAGCCATCGACGCAAAGAAAAGAAGCATCGGCAACCATCTGAAGACTCCCAGCAACTCGAACCTGAAGAAGAGGCGGCAGCAGGCGAGACAGAAACACAAGGCGACGTTGCGATTGACTGTACCGATATCAATCCCGGAGAGCCCGGCCCCTGGTCAGCATGGGTCTACGATTCAAGGGGTTTCTACTACCGGTGTCGACAGCCGATAGATAGCGGTTCGTACATGAGCGCTCGGAAGGCCAGTTTTTGACAGGCAGCTGATCATCTCGATACCAGACAACTTGGACTACGAGTTCATCCACCCTAGGACCGCCTCGACAATGGGGTTTGTGTACCCACCAATTGAACCGGCCGCGCAGTTGCAAATAACACCAGTGACCCAAGCATACGGGCAAATCATCCCGATCCTCGTCCCCGTCGGCACCTATGAGGCGCCAGCCGTTGCAGCAATCGGACAAGACCTGCCATACCAGCCTGAAAACTCAGTGACGCCCCTGAGGCCAATGCTCCTTGTGAGTCCTTCAGAGCAGCAGATGACGCAGTCCACGCTACCCCAAAGACACGGCCTCGCCTCTGCCCCTGTGGACACGCTCACGCAGCCGCCCGTCCAGAACGGCGTGGCTGGCGCTATGGTCCGTCACTACGCTGCACCGCGATCGACCACTTCGCAAGCCACGTCGCACCGGGAGAGGAACATGGTGCGCGACGTTGCAAAGGGCGCAAAGTCGAGGAGCAAGTCTGGCTCGAATCGACACGCGCGGGACCCGCTTCTGAAGACTGTGGATAAATGGCTGGACCACGTGAGGGAGCGTCCGCAATAAGTGTGTTTGTGACTAGCGATTGTCGCTCCAGACCCCTGTTTCGTCTGTTGAGCATCTTGTACGTGCCGTGTGATAAATTAGCCTGCGTTTGGTTTATGCCATGCCCACAGGGCGCTTCTGTCACTGCAAATGTGCATTCAGGACCATTCTCGACCAGACATGGTCGTCAGAGTGACACCGTTTGATCCTCACTGCCGCCTTTGATTCTTTGCGCGAGAGCACAAAGCATCCTATTTGCAGACCTTCGTGAACTCAGCCAGCAACGCCTGCGATATGTCAGCCGGTGATTTCAAATACATAAATAGAGAACATACCTCGAAATCACTCTCCGCCATGGACGCGAAGATCTTTTTCTTGTCAAGCCCCAGCCTCGTCACGCGCGGGCTCTTGATCCCAAACGCGACCCTCGCCAAGAATCTCGGATCATCACGCACATCAGTAGCCTCAAGCACCTTCTCGGCCGCCTCAAAGTCGAACGGCTTCCGCGCCGGCGCTGGCAGCTCAACAGCCTTCTTTGTCACGCAGAAGGTGCAGTGCCCACACTGCGTCGCCTGTCCGGGGAGCTCCATGCCAAAATGCTGGGCGAGGGAGAGTGCGAAGCACTTCTTGGCTGTCACGAGCTTGATGAGCTGCTGCGTTCTGTCTAGGGCTTGTTGTTCGCGCAGCTCTAGGTCCGCGTAGACTTTCTCCACCAGTTCGTCAATCTCCCTGTCTGTGCCGGGCAGTTTGCTTAGAATTTTGTACTTGTTCTGGACGCCGCTGACCTTGAGTTTGATGCAGCCCGTGTCATTGAGCATGTTGAGATATTTGATCAGGTCGTTGCGGCGGATGCCGGTCGATTTGGAGACAGCGGTGGGGTCGATGCTGTGATACTTCTTGGCTTTCTTCGCATTGTTCAAGATGGCGGCCGCTTCGGGGCTCTTGTCGTTCTTGAGGCGAGGGTAGTAGACATTGTTGGCTTCGAAAGTGTAAGAGCTATACTCGGGGGTGATGGCACGGATCAGCTTGAAACGCAGTTCGAGGGCCGCATAGATGATGCTCAAGGGGCTCATGCGAATATCGAACTCCGTCGTCTGAGGGTGATGACTAGTCTTGAACGTGTCGCCAACTGACAAACTCAGAACCTCAGGGCTGAATATGTCTTTGAGAAGACCTCGGAGGGACTGACGGGAGGGAAGGTCACCTCGGGCAAATGCCTCTTTGACGTAAAGGTCCTCCGGACACAGGTAGAGCATGCAGTGGCTCTCTTTGCCGTCTCGACCAGCACGACCAACCTGCTGGCAGTACTCTTCCACAGTGTTTGACAAATCCCAGTGGATAATGCTTCGGATGTCTGTGTGGGTCAGCAAGAATCTTCATGTATTGGCCGTTCAGCATACCGGATTTGTCGATGCCCATGCCAAACGCAATGGTAGCGACCACCTGGGTTTTGAAGTCAGCCATGATGTAAATTCAAGGCAGAAATGTGCTTGTCATCTCACAATGTCGACTTTCGATGCCATGAAAGCATCCTGAATACGGGTCTTTTCCTCCGTCTTCATGCCGGCATGGAATGCCTGAACCTTGAAGCCCTGCTTTCTGAGTTCAAGCGCCAGATCCTCGGCTTGCTGTTGAGAAGTTCCGTCAGCCGTTCATCCTGAGAAGCGATGCCATCCAACATACCCTCTGCTGCGTCACATAGACAAGGGTCGAGCCCTTGTGCTTCTTCAGGTAGGCAACAAGTAAATCTCGTTTCTCTTCTTGCTTGCTTATCGCCACAGCTTCGAGCCGAAAACTGAGCACATCAGCAGCTGATCATCAAGGAGAGCAGGGAGAGAAGTCATACTTGGGGCGGTAGGGCGATGTCCTGAAGACCCCATCCTTGGAAATACTGAAAGCATTGCAAATGTCATCGGCAACGACGGGAGTCGCAGTGGCCGTCAGGCAGATAACCTTCTCCGCCTTGATCTCGTCAACGAAGCGTGCAACTGGATCATGTCAGCAACCCAAAGTCACCCTTGATAAATAGGTCAACGACTCTACCCTTTAAATAGTCCGGCCTGAAAGAGTGTCCCCACTACGCATCATCAGTCTCAACCCATGCGACTCTCTCACCAATGAGGGGCGGGAGGAGTGGCTCACCTCGGAAATACAATGCGCCTCATCCACAGCAAGAAGTCTGACGCCGCCACGCACATACTTCATGTTCTCGACAAACATTTCATTGTTCAGCCGCTCAGGCGCACAGTAGATCATTCTCAGCTTGCCGCTCCGCAGCGCGGCGTTGATGTCCTGGATCTGCTCCCACGACTTGGTCGAGTCGATGCACTCCGCCGCGATGCCCCTCCGCCGCAGGGCGTCGACCTGGTCCTTCATCAGGGCAATGAGCGGCGACACGATGATGGTCACGCCCGAGTCGCCCTCCTCCCTGTCGCCGGTCTCGCGATCCATGGCCTCGAAGGCGATGGCCGGGATCTGCAACCCACATTAGCACATCATGCCCGTTCAAGAGATGCGAGACTCGGCAGGAGGGGGGGGGAAGAGAACGGATGAGAAGGGGGTGCGCAGACCTGGTAGCAGAGCGACTTGCCCGCTCCCGTCGGGAACACAACGAGGCTGTTCTCCCCGTGCAGGATCCTCGCAATGGCTGCCGCCTGCTCGTGTCGAAAAGCGGGGTAGCCAAACTTGTCCTTCAAGATGCTCGTCGCAAGAGCGAGCTTCGACGACGAGGACGAGCCGTCCTCTGTGTATGAATTGCCGATACGCGGACGTTTCGAGGGTTTGTCATCTGATGGACCCCTCGACACGGCATTTCCGTCGGATTCGTTGAGGGGACGCTTGGCGGAGGTCTGGACCTGAGAGCTCTGCAGGAGCGCATCCTCGTTCACCCCGTCAAAGAGGTCGTCGCCCGAGTCGTAGTCATCCGCCATCTTCCTCTGCGTGGCTTAGCGTTATGAACTGGGTTTGGGTTTGCAGTGAGATCTGAAGGAAAAAAGTATCGCATTCCCCTTTTTGATGCTTCATAGATCAAGGTCTGATGAAATGGTGATTGTGATACGCCAGCTGGTGACTGGTTACTGAGTCCTGAACCGTGCGCGTTCAGGCTGCAGGCGCGTTCACTTTACAAATTGGCGGTTGACGCGCTGTCACGTGATGGCAAACCGAGGAGCGACGTCATCCTCAGACAGTCCAGATACATCACACATCACTCTGGTGCGCAAAAGGTTCCAAATGCTCAAAGTGTACGGTATTCATGTTCATTATTATACTATAATTACGTTCAGAGGCTATCCTGTCCGGACCCTCTCCTCCCCGACATACGCTCAATACTCGTAGACGAACTTGGCGTTCGCCACAGACTTGCGGCTCCACTGGTGCTTCAGGGGGTCGCCCTTGCGGTTCTTCTCAGCATACAGCGCCTCTGTCAGGACCTTGTAGATGAAAGCACCAGCGCCGTTGTACACAATGCTGTGGTCGCTGTCGGTGAACGCATGCCAGTTGAACTTGGCGTGCGGTACAGCACTGCCGACGAGAAGGTCAACCAGGGCAGCGGTGTTCTGGTAGTGCACGTTGTCGTCACCAGTGCCGTGCGCAATGTACGCCTTGCCCGCCAGGTTCTTGAAGCCAGTGGTGTCAGTCACAGCAGTCTCGTTGTAGCCATCGGGGTTCATCTGGCTGGTCTTCATGTAACGCTCAGTGTACATGCTGTCGTAGAAGCGCCAGTCGGTGACAGGCGCGACGATCAGACCGCTGGTGAAGACGCCCGAGTTCTCTTCAAGGGTCTTGGCGGCCAGGAAGCCACCGTACGACCAGCCAAAGATGGAAATGTGCTCGGCGTCAATGAAATCGTACTCGGCAATGAGCTGCTCGGCGGCCCAGATCTGGTCAAGCGGCTCGAGGCGGCCAAGGTGGGAGGCCACAGTGGCGCGGAACTCGCGGCCCTTCCAGCCTGTGCCACGGTTGTCGACAGTGTAGGTGATGTACTCGAGCTCAGGGTCCGAAGCAATGTAGGCGCGCCAGTTAATGGCCTGGAATCGCTTATGAACTTCCTGGGCGTCGGGGCCGCCGTAGGGGGTGAAAACGACAGGGTACTTCTTGCTGGAGTCGAAGTTGGCAGGCAGGCGCTGCATGACGTTTAGGGAGTATCCATCGGGGTGCTCAAGCTCAAAGTACGTGATGTTGGGCAGCTTGTACTGGGCAATCTTGGCGATGAGGGCATCGTTGGTCGTAATAGTACGCAGGGGCTTCGTTGAGTTGGTAGCGTAAAGCTCCTGGTAGGGAACATTGGGTCCGAGGTAGTTCAGAATGTAGAAGCCACCAGCGGCAGAGAAGGAAGCGCCGAAGTACCCGGGAACGGTGTCATCGACAAGCGCCTTCTTGACGCCACCAGGGTAAGAGACGGAGTACAAGTGGCGCTCAGTGCTGTGACGCTCAGTCGAGGTGAAGTAAATCAGGCGCTTCTTGGTGTCGACCTTGAGCACCGAAGCAACCTCAAACTCGCCCTCCGTCAGGGCGATGGGCTCGCCGCCCTTGACGGGGTAGAGGTACAGGTGCTTCCAGCCAGACACGTCAGAGATGTCGAGGTAGTAAGGGTCGCAGGTGCCGTTCAGCCTGCCGACGAACTGGATGGCGAGGAGGTTGTCCAGCCAGCCGTCGGAGCCGTCACGCTCGCGAATGGTTGTCGACTTGCGGTCCTCGACGTCAACCCGGACAACCTTCTCCTGGTCCTGGACACGGTTGAAGGCGCGGTACAAAACGCTCGTGTGGTTAGTGGTGACCCAGGCGACCTCACCGATGATGAGGTCATCGGCAGCAAAGGCATCGACCTCGAGAGTGGTCGACTCGCCCGAGTCAACCTCGAGCAGGGAGAACTTGACGGTAGGGTTTGTGGTGCCGACCTTGGGGTAGCGGAGGTCGAGCTCTCGGGGGTAGACAGGGGCCGTCTTCTGGCCGTCCATGTAGTAAGGAATGGTGAAGGTCTCGACACCGGTCTCGTCGAAGCTCAGGTAGGCGACATACTCGCCATCGGGGGAGAACCAGAGAGCCTTCTTGTCACCAAAGATCTCCTCCTCGTAGACCCAGTCGGGCACGCCGTGGAACAGATCAGGGCCACCATCGTTGGTAACCTGGGTCACGTCGCCGCCCTTGTTCAGGTACAGGTTGTTGCCGCGGACAAAGGCGATGGCGTCGCCAGCGGGGGCAAACTCGGCGTGTTGGATATCACCAGCCTGGTCAGCAACCAGGGGGGTCAGTTCGCCCGACTCGACGTCGAGGATCTGGTAGTCGGCAAAGAAGGAGTGGCGGTACTGCTTCGTGTCGTTGGTGGCGAAGAGGACCTTCTTCAGGTCCGGACGGATCCAGTAGTCCCTGTAGTCGGCGGGAAGGGCGCTGGCGGGGACAAAGGTCTCGCTTTCACCGGAGACAATGTCCTCAAAGACAAGACCTGCCGTGTTGGCGAAAATGTACCGGCCGTCGTCGGTACCATCGACCCAGCTGACGGCGCGCGAGCTGGCAGCGAAGGCACCGCTGCGGCTCTCCTGGTATGTAATGAGGCGCTCTCCGCCACCAACGGGCTGGGTCGGGGGGCGGGGAGGGTCGATGGCCGAGACGCTGGTAGCCAGCGCCGCGGCGACGGCGATGGCGCGGAGGAAGCGGGCCATGGCGAGGAATTCAACACACGCAGTAGCTAAGGATGCTGTAACTGTATGTGACTGAGACCTAGGATCCCAAGGTGCGTTGTTCTACCCGAAAGAATGCAGGCTGAGACACGAAAGAGCGGACGAGGATCGGAGGGACGGGGGGAAAGGGGAGGGGCCGAAGCAGTCCAGCGGGCGAGACGGCGTGCTCTTAAATGAGGTGACCTCCTCAATTCAAGATGCCGCAAGCCTGTCGTGGTGCACCGCGCTGTCGTCGCATGGCGAGCTCTTATTTCTTCCGACCTACCCAACTAGGCAGGCTGGTGATTCTGGATGCATCATGGAGCCGACTCGGCTAGGTGCGTGCGCTGATTAACCTAGCGGCCCCTGGCTTGTTCCTGCTCTAGATTGCTCGAGGTGACATGAACATGGCGAGCTCTGATGCCATCGGTACGACCTCAGCACGCCGCGCCGTGCCATGGACCTGACATGACCGGGGGACGATGGACGGTGGACGATGGTGGAAGACACTGCAGACCTTTCAAGGTCGCACCGGGCCAGCCAGTTGCCAAGAGGTATTCGAGCTTCCTATCTGGGGAAGGAGAAGCTGCGATCGTCATGTCGGGTCTCCGCATCGTTGGCGTTCGAGTGGCGGAGAGCTTGTCTGAAATGGCCCGTCTTGTCGTCTGCCAATGCCGACAACCGACAAGGCCGAGTCAAGCCACGAAGGCCAAGGCTATGGAAGGGTTCTGCGACGGCCACCGGACGGGACGGTTAGCGATGGGATGGAGATGGAGGAGCAGACAAAGACGCGATGAGCCGTTGTGAGAGGCTTGACATGATCGGCGCACTAACCTCGCCTGGGCTAGCTGGCGGGGCCGTGGGCTTTTGCGGGGCTCCACCACCTGCCATTTCTGGCCTGATCTGCCGCCTGTCGTAGGGTTGTGCCTGCCTTAGCCATGCTGCGAGGAAGCGGCGATAAGGGGGGAAGGAACTGTACAGCAATAGGGCCAGGTCAGGTAAGGCAGGTAGGTCCTTTGCCCTGGGGGTAGTACCTGGCAGCCTGGGTAGGTACATGTAGGGCAAGAAGCAGGAGAAAGGGGGGACTTTTGGCGCGGCACAAGGGCACAAGGCACAAGGGCACAAGGGCATGTTGGTCTGTAATCGCTAATTTACGACGCCTCTTGAGATTCGCCAATTGGGCCACCAACATTTGATTCCAAGGTTGTAAGAAAGCACGCAAACAGGCCTGGAGCTTTCGCGGGTGGTCGTGCTAGGGAGTTTTGGGAAGGTTACAGCGGTCGAGACACTCGCAACCCACCTCAGTAGACTTTTGGAGTCTGTGGGCATGCCATGGGAAAACACGAATAATACCGGGCAAATTGTCCTGCCTTGCCAATTGGGTTTCTCACTCAATACTACCTACTTGTAACAGAATCGCACACCTTATTTCTCTGCCTCTTCCACTTCTGCTGCACACTAGGTAGCGGACCACGCAGCTCCTGAGCACTCCAAGTACTGTATGGATGTTGGTTTTATTTGAACCATCCACGGCGCGCTCTGTTGAGTTTCACCTGTTCCTCCGTCCTGACAATGTCTGGCCCTGCCACTGTCCCGTGTTTTATACCTTTTTCTCTGCAGATGTACTACGACGTTGGGCCTGTCTTCTTGTCACCATTACACAACCCCCACCCTCTCCTTGTTCAATTGTCACAGGATATAAGGCATCAATTGGATCCCAACAATGGTGGGCCTCTCGTGGCCAAGCTGCTGTTCGTCGTCGTCCTCCTCCTCCCCGTCCCTGGCCTGAGGGCGTGCATCCTATAATGCATCCCGTCCGGTCCATCAATCACCTTGCCTAGGTACCTTACTTGACGAATAGGTGCCGCATGTTCCTAGGGGCTTGGTCAAGCAATCGTTTGCCTGGCCTCAGATTCTTTCTTTTTCATGCCGCGTTGTCTTGCCGGTCTCCTGCTGGGCCAGTCCCCGACTCCTTACTCGCATCCTGTATCATCCCTGCACCATGCTCTTCCCGTCCCGTCCCACGTTAAGGTACTTCACATCGTCACCCCCCACCTTTGGTTCTTGACCACCTTTGATTCTTGACGCCC